TTCTGGAACATCTTGGCAAGCTTTGCAGGTGGAAGATGCCATCTATAAAACATTTTCAACTGGTTTTCCTTGAATGCCGCCGACATAGTCAATTTTATATTTATTTCCCATATTTTTCCCATTTCTCCAATTCTATATTATATCCAAAATTTTTTGCCCATCTAATCATTGTGTCTTTGACAACCTCGTCTTCCATTTTATATCTCAATAGGTATTTGTATAAATTGCTAATTAATTTTATTTCTGTTCCATGTATAATTTTACCCAATTCTTGCGGCTCTTTTTGGATTTCATATAATTTTTTTTCCTCTGTATATTTAGATTGAATTTGTGTAAATGTCCACCAATCAATCTCTCTGCCAATGTCTTGTTCCAATTCTTTTTTTGTTTTCAAATTTCCCTGTTCATTTACTAATTCCTTGTATCTAATTATCTTATTTATATCCAGTAGATTTGGGTATTTCAAAGCTTCTGTTGGGGATAACCACATTGGAATTCTTGTATAATGTTTTTGTTTTATTTTTTTCCCAAGTCTGTAGCAATGCATTCCTAACTATGTGTCTTTGAAAATATCTATGTATTTTATGTTTTTCGTCCCATAGGAATGCATGCCACTCTGCTTGCAAATCATGTCCTTCTATTGTTAAGACTCTAATATTTTTCAAATCCATCCAATCTTTTAGCCAAGTTAAGCTTGATGCTTGGTAATATATTTCCCACTCAGGTAACGCCAATCCCCCTTTATCTTTCGTGTCTTGCAAGAGTTTTAATTTAATCCTGGGTTTTTTCCTTTGCCATATAAATTTAGTGATCAATTTATTTAATTCTTGAAAGAATGTTTTCCCTAATTTTATTGGAATAACCTGGAACAGAAATAATATTTTTGGCAATACATTCATTTTGACCGTAGCGGTCCTCCCTAAAAATGAAATTTGCAAATTTTCCCAATTTTCTAAATCTTTTTTTATCTGGTGTAGTATTTTATCATAATTGTCCTCCTTAATCGAGGAACATTTCGCTGTAAGCCAGATCCCTAAGTATTTTATTTTCTTGGTTATACTTATTTTTGTTTTATCTTCCAATTCCCTTTCTTGTGCCTTTGTAAGATTTTTTGTTATTAATTTGGATTTATTCCTATTAATCTTAAGTCCGGCTACCTCACCAAATTCTTCTATTTTTTTAATCAATTTAAAGCCGGTTTCCAATGGATCTTCCAAAATAAATACCAAGTCATCAGCAAAGGCCTGGACCTTATATTCTTCCTTTTTAATTTTTAAACCCTTTATTTCTTGGTCCTCTCTGATTTTTGTAAGAAGTATTTCTAATGATAAAATAAATAGAAGAGGAGAAAGTGGGCATCCTTGTCTTACTCTTTTGGTTATATCAATTTTTTCTGTCATTTCCTCATTTATAATTACCCTAGCTGTTTGTTTAGTATATATTTTCTCAACCATCTTTCCAAATTTTGTCCCAAAATCCATATAGTACAATTGTGTTATAATAAAATTCCAATTCAAATTATCAAATGCCTTCTGGGCATCAAGAAAAACCAGCGTAGCTTGTCTTTCAGGATGAACTTCGTAAAATTCTAAAGTATTCAGTATTATCCTCATGTTATTTTTTATTTGTCGTCCTGGTAAAAATCCATTTTGATCTGGGTGAATATAATTATTCAAAATTTTCTTTATCCTTTCTGCTATTATTGTTGTAAATGTCTTATAATCTGTATTCAGTAAAGAAATCGGTCTATAATTTTGAATTTGTTGTAGGTCTGAGTCTTTCGTAGGAATGAGGGTGATAATTGCTTCAGTCCAAATTGTTGGTATCTTCGCCTCTTCCAATACCTCATTGTACATCTCCAACATTATCCATTGTAGTGACTCTTGTGTATTTTTATAAAACTCGACCGGAATTCCATCTGGGCCTGGTGATTTGTTGTTTTTTTTATTTTTTCAATGCTATTTCTAATTCTATTGCAGTTATTGGTCTATTCAACATTTCCTTTTGTTCTTCAGTAATTTTACCCATTTTTGCTGCCTCAATATATTGTTTGACTTTATCATCTGGTATATCTTCCTGATGGTATAGCTTTGAAAAGAAATTTTGTATTATTTTCTTTTTTTGTATTTTTTTTTTTCCCGTCTATATTGTACTGTTCCACTTTCATCTTGTAGTTGGTATATTGCTCTTTTGCCTTTTTCTTTTTTTAATTTATAAGCCAACCATCGACCAGTTTTATTCGCATTTTCAAAGTAATTTTGTTTTGCCATCCTGCTTTTCTGTGCCATTTCTTTTTGTGTTGTCAGGTTAATCTTGTGTTTTATAATATTCCATTTTTTCTTTTATCTTTTTGTTTTGTGGGTCCTTCTGTAGATCACCTTCTATTTTTTTTAATTCTTCTTATAATTTCCCTTGTTGAAGTCTCCTATCTTTATTTTTCTTTGAGTTGTATGCAATTGTCAATCCCCGTATGTAAGCTTTTGTAGTATCCCACAAATTTTGTGTTGATGTCTCTTCCTTTTTATTTACCTGAAAAAATAATGTCAACTCCTTTTCTAGCATCTGTATAATTGTTTATCTTTACATAGTCTTTGATTCATTGACCATCTTTTTCTCTGTTTCTGGCCTTTCCATTTTATTATTATTGGGTTATGATCCGCCCAATCATTAAGCCCTATTTCAATTTCCTCTATCCCTTTTTGTACGTCTGTTGTTGCCCAGGCCATATCGATCCTAGACCAAGACTGATGTGGATACCAGTAGAACGTATATTGTTTGTCTGATCTGTGTGTCTCTCTCCATATATCCTGAAGATTGAGTTCTGTTACCATGTCAAAGAATGATTTTGGTAATATATTTTTCTTCTTTTTGTTCTTTTACTACTCTTATAATCTTTCTTAACATCAACTATTCATAGTTGAAACTTTTAATAAACTATATAGCTTTCTATTTAAAATGAGAAAATAAATCCAGATCAGTAATGTATTTTTAACAGTCTGCTTTCCTTTCGAACAATGAAATCTGAGGAGGAATTTGGAATGAGGAGAATTTTGGAAGCATCCCTGTGTGATGGAAGAGAATCGTAACTAACAGAAGATTTCAGATGACTGGTAACATCCCTAGGATAGCTCTAGCTAAAATATCACTGTAGTCCTATCAGCTGTTCTGCATGCTAGCTGTAGCAACAGACAGCTATTGACTGGAGCATTTAGACTGCACCTGTTGCTGAAAGTATACATGATGCTCCAAAGTGAACAAAATATCCACTAATTTATATGAAGTACTTAAAAGGGATCCTTGAGAAGGTCTGTTAAAATGCCAGGGAATGCCTAATGGCCAAGTGTTCACTTTATTTTGATATGTGAATAATAGAAAAAGAGGGGCAATTAGGAAAGGCTTTTAAAAGGGTTTCATTTTCCTAAGATAGCTTTTAACCAAAATACAAAATCTTAAATATAACAAAATCCTAGGGTATCCAAGATAACAAAATGTATCAAACAATCTCTGCAGTGTCCTAGTGCTAATTACCAACAAATATAAGGCGATAGCATACTAGAAAAGACTGAATGAGCAACTTTAAGGATGGATCAAATAAGCAATTATTTTGAAGGGAAACTGAAAGAACTAGGTATGGTCAATGTAGTGGAAAGAAAATTAAGTGGAGTTTATGTTTGTTATAGAAATAGAACGGAAAACAGCTGCTATATGTACCATAATTCAGGTTATATCAGCTCTAGTACTATTTAGCTAAGACATTCCAATTGTTATTTTCCAATACTGGCCAGAAAATCTACAATCCATTTTCTATAGTAACTCTGCCTGTATTGTTCCCTTGGGTTTTTTCTGGAGATGGGGCCATCAATATGATTAAGCATTAAAGCTTTCAAAAATCTGACTCCCACATGGCCTAAGAGAAAACTAGGCTCTTTTTTGAATAATAACTAATATTCCATATATTTATGAGGATTTCTTTCTGAATGGAAATTGGAGTCACACCTTATTCTTCTAATTGAAAGATTTAATTTTAGAGTGATTCATATGTCCAGGATAGACAAATTTCAGCTTGTGGGCTGTTCTTCCGGCTCTTCCTTTATCTGAAAATTGCAGCAAGTTTGGCCAATAATTTAATAAGAAAACTAAAGTAGGCTATGTAAAAATAAAATTTACATGTTTCCCCATTTGGGGAGTTTAAAAGGCAAAATCAGTGCCTTAACACTTCTAAAACTTTAAGGCAGCTCATTACTTCTTAAGACATTTTCTCCGAATCTCTAGAAAAATCAGTCTGATATCTTTAGTGAAGACGTTACTGGCTGAAATGAATGTCTTAACACATTAGAGAGACTTAAGGTGTTCTAGTATATCTAAAAATGAAAAAAGGAATAAAAGTTAACATAGCTTATCCTGGATTATGAATAAAAATTACTTGACTCAGGGAAGCTGATCACATGTCTATTTGAATTATTGCTTTTGGTATGATTCATTATTAAAAGGAATGCTTAGAGTGATATATTTATGCTAGGAGACAATAGCAACTGGATAATTCTACTGCTTTTGGAGTTTGGGAGTGACTGAATTATCCAATTTTCTAGCATGATTTATTCTATTATATCTTTACAATGCTTGCAACCATTGAGGAGTGAATCATACTGATATTTTATGTTTGTTATATATGCTATATGCACCACACACACACTATACATGTGTTAGTTAGAGTGTATGACTATTCTGAATTTCTATACAAAGGCATCTGTCTGAAATAGATTACAAGTTTGAAGCAATGAAAGCATGTAATTTAAGAAGAGAAACAAACATGTACTGTGAATAGCTATCTCTGCTGTGGGATGAGAATTTGGCACTTGCTTAGTTCTCATAATGAATTAGCCATTTTCTTCAGCACACCATACTGGAAGATCAGCTTTAAGTGACAATATTAGCCAGCCTCTCCTTCCAGGTCTGTCTTTTGAAACATGTCTTATTTCTGTTCTGTTCTTGATTCCTAGGTCCAGCTAATCACAATAGTTCCCTCTTAGCCTCGCTTCCCATTCCAGGACGGTCTTTACATCCATCACTGGATATCAAGCATTTTCTGACTTTCCGCCTCAATGGCACCCCTCCACTCAACCTCTTTCCTAATTTCAACACGGTGAGTTTTTCTAGTTTGATCCATTTCTTCATCCCCACAGAGCAGTGTCCTTAGCACTGTATGGAATTAGATAGGAGCAAAATTATCCTCTACCTTCTGAGCTAAAGGCCAAAAAAGTAGTCATTTTCATTCTAAAATATAACTGCTGATGGGCTAATTTTATCTCAATCTTCTTTGTTTTCTCATGGCATAATTCACCCTGTTGATCTATAAACTTCAAGGTTAAACAGAACACACATGCTGGATCAATGTGCAGTAGCTATAGAAATATAGCAAGTGCAATATGCCTGCGCACATCCCGTCATGTTCATCATATTATGCCTCCCCTACAGATGGAAAGCTTAAGATACCATGTAAAAAGAGATGCAAAGGCCACTTAGGATTTTTAAGATGCATGATGATAACAGTGGTAGGATTCCAATATGTGAACAACTGGTTCTCTGTGTGGATGCCGCTTCCAGAAGTCCATTCTGAGCCTGGGCAACAAAAAATTAGGTACTGGTTCTGCCGAACTGGTGCAAACTGGCTGAATCCCACCACTGGATGATTAACTATGTATATAACTGCAGTGTGGCTTTCTAATGGGAGGAATCACAGAGTTTCAGAAAAATATGTTAAATTTTCCCATAATAGCCTATGCAAAGCATTCTTTGTTTCTTTGGAATTTTGTTTTCTATGTATTTTAAAAGATAGAAATAACAGAGATATAGTCAATCCTCACAAATAAAAAAAATGCGTGGCTTATTGCTTACTCTGGAAGAATGGATACTTAAAGTGTCTAATTTAGCAGAAATGGCAAAAATCTCCGTCTATTTGAAGGATCACTCACAAGAAAAATACATTATGGTTTGGAGAAGATGGATTGATTATATTCAGAAGAAATATGAAATTGAAAAGTATTATCTTGCTTTTGAGTAGATCTTAGATAATTATTAGTTTTAATTATCTTATTATTTTTTGTTAATATTTATTTTGAGAAGGAGTTAAAGTGTGTTATGGTTTTGATTGATAGTATAATTGGTTTATGTTAGTTAGATTGTGTTTGTTTGTTTTATTTTTTATCCTGTAATCAGCTCTGGGAAGTGGGGGGAGGGGGGGAAGGGGTGGGGGGGTTATATTGTAATAAATTTATAAAACTTTTAACTAAAAAAAAATATGTGGCTGATATTCTTTAAAGACAGTCTTGGCACTACCTCCCCCACAATTCAATAGGTTTGCAACTCCAAACATTCCCGTCCAGTATAGGACTGTGGAGGTTTCAAGTTGGGGTTGATTGTTCTTAAGCGTCTTTCATAAAAGACAGATGCAGTATCTATTCTGGTCTCCTGTTTTCACAGCAGTAGATGTCTTCAAGAGGTTTGCAGTTGTCCCACTTTTGCCTCTTTTATCTGATATAATATTTCTGAATGTTGAGAATCCATTTAACTACAGTACTACGATTATTAATACATTAATAAGCCCGTCTTCTTCCGTTTATCTATTCTATTGTTTACTATATCTTATAATGTCTGTTTGTCTTCTTGATAGCAGTACTGTTTTCAGTAAATGATCCTAACTTCTATTTTCTGAGAAAACTAAAATGTTAACAAATGAATAATGCATGATCCATATGTTAACCTATTTGTTTATCTTTCCCTTTGAAATGAAAAAAGGAATATTACATAGAAAGAATGAACAAAAGACAAAAGTAGAATTACAACTGCCATATTTGCTCCTTGCTCTAGTGGGAAAAAAAACAAATAATTTTCATGTAAATTTCCACTACTGCCTAATCTGTTATTCAGACAGATTGAAGTTCCAGTTGATAGAAATAATTTATAGTCTAGAAGGTGTTAAGGAAATCATGTTATATTCTTCATGTCTATATATACAAGAGAAGCAAGTTTATCAATTTGATTCAGTTATGGCTCATTGTTTTTATTCAGTAGATTTCTAAGTAACCTTAAGAGCATATATACAATATATATACAATAGCAAAATAAAAGCACATAGATTTATGTAAACAAAATACAGTCAGTACTTAATTACAGTGAGTATTATAAGGCTTTTAAATATGTTAAAATTCATCCCAATGAGATTGGCCTGCCCCACTTGCCCTGGTAGTAGGGGCATCTGCAGACCCATCAGCCAAGAAATTTCAGCTGATGAAATTCAGGAGAAGAACTTTTTCTGCCATGGTTCCTGCCCTTCGGAACATCGCATGCCTGGAGGTGATAGAGATCCATCCTGCCTTATTGCCTTTCCAAAAGGACCTGAAACTCTTTGAGGCCCTGAGGTGCTTTACACTAGAGATGTTTAATAGATTAAAAAAATATCCCATCTACATCCCATTTATGTGCTGGTCCCCCTTTTATCTTATTTTTGTTAACTTTTAATGTTTTAATTTTTAAAGCGTAATGTTTTGATTTTTTTTATGATGTTGTGAGTCATCCAGAGTCATCCAGAGTCATTTCACAGTGAGATGGGTGACATACTGTATAAATTTAATTAATAAATAAAAACAGCCATTAGATAGGTCAAGCCACATATTGCACTGAAGTAACAAAATAATCTGATAGTGGAGAGAAGAGTCTGGAAGTGATGTACTTTTTGAGCTAAACCTGAACCTTAGAGCAGTTTGACTGTAACTTCTTGGGAATCAAAAGTTTCCTTTTTTTCTAATGGTTTCATTCTGGGAATAAAGCAAGAAAAGGCTTGTGGATTTAGAGATGATAGATAGACAGGCAGGCAGGCAGAGACAGGCAGAAATAGACAGACAGTCAGACAGACACTAAAAACTCTTGGTTTAGAAAAAAAAAGTTTGTGAAAAGCAAGTTCAGATTTTGAAGGTACCCTCAAATCCACTCAAATGTGTAAAACCTTTGTGAGTCCTTTATAAATCATAACTTGAGTCTATGTCTTCTGGTTTTCCTAACCTCATAATCTTTACAGGACATTCAATGCAATAATCTGTCCTTATGTATCAGTGGATACATAAGTGTATCAGTTATATATTTCAGGGATAAAACAGAAGTAATCCAAGTCATTGCAAATTAGTTTAAACATAGAGTTGGGGATTTTTTTTCTTAACTGCCTGAATCCAAAATAATACTTTACAGTTTTCTGGGCATTTTGTCCTTGTACTAACAGATAGAAAAGTGAGAAAGTCCCACAACTACTATAGATTAATATATTAAGAATCAACTATATGTAGTAAGTTGGATAATATTATTTATTTTGGTCAAGAATCAAGTTTTTAAAAAATTAAGTTAAAATAGTATAATTTAAAAATCAGTAAGTTCAAGGAAAGAAGATCGTAGATGGATAAACAATAGTGCAGTTAAGTTGTTCTAATAACTGTAGCACAATAAAATGACTACGGTATATCTTGTAATTCTCCTAGTAATCTCAAAATGCTCAGCTAGCATGAGATGCACATAATCCTTTGCGAACCAAGTCTGTTTCATAGAAGGAAAGTTGTAAGCTCAGAGCACAGAATCTCATAGAAAAGACTTTGAAATTGCATGTGCTAGAGGTACTTCCTAAACCTGGGTAAATTACCCAAAATTGAGTAAAAATGGTTTTTCTTTGAGTAGTGACAATCACAACCGAGATATTTAAATAAGGACTTTGTAATAAGTGATAAAAAGGAGTTTCTAATAAGAGGTTTTAAATAATGAAGGAAAAAATTTGGAAAACCTGTGCTAGAGACTAAATTTCTCAAATTTTATATTGCCTCTAAGATAGAATGTTATTATCATCTCATTCTATACTGCCAAGAGTAAATAATTAAAACAACTAAACAAAAAAGACGTATATGGTGAGGGGGAGAGAATAGAGTTGGTTACTGAAGCAAATTGAAATGGAAGTATTGTAATTTTAGAGTGACTCTAAACTTGGTTTTGATAAAAAATTCATTTATAGAATAGTTTGTTCTTCAATATGGACCAACTGCAAACTTAGATAACAACAAAAAATTGTATGATCAAATGGGCGGAAAATATCCAAGAGCCAATTTTATTGGATACATGGGAGACAATCTGGGTTAGAAATGTAAAATTTACTCAAGCACAAAATTTAAGAGAAAATTTTTATAAAATGTTTTATAGATGGCATTTGGATCCCCAAAAGTTGTCCCGCATGTATCCGAATTTACAGCCCAAATGTTCGAGATGTGGAAATTTAGATGCAACTTATTTTCATATTTGGTGGACTTGTAAATATATTAAAGCTTTTTGGATTAAGATTTGGTGGAATATTCAAAAGAGTTTTAAGAAAAAGATAAAGTTTACTCCGCAATTATTTTTGTTGGGTATTATTGTAGATTTGGATGTTAAAGAAACTAATTTGATGTTGAACCTTATAACTGCTGCAAGATTATTGGTGGGGCAAGATTGGAAGAAAAACTTATTGCCTACTTTGGAAGAATGGACACTTAAGGTGTCTAATTTAGCAGAAATGGCGAAAATCTCCACCTATTTGAAGGATCATTCACAAGAAAAATATATTATGGTTTGGAGAAGATAGATTGATTATATTCAGAAGAAGTCTGAAACTGAAAAGTATTACCTTGCTTTTGAATAGATTTTAGATAATTATTAACAGTATTAATTGTATTATTATTTTTGTCTTAATTTGTTAATATTTGTTTTGAGAAGGAGTTAAAGTGTATTGTGGTTTTGATTGATAGTTTGGTTTATGTTAGCTAGATTATGTTTGTTTATTTGTTACCCTGTAATCAGCTGTGGGAAGTGGGAGAGGGGGGAGGGGATGGGTGGGTTTATATTGTAATTTGTAAAACTTTTAATAAAAAAACAAAAACAAAAAAAAACTACTGCAGAATTTTAAGAACCGGCAGGATAGGCTGTCAAGAAAGGGAACATTAAGTTTGAATTTAGAAAACTATAGGGACTAGTTCAGTCAGTTACCAGAAGTCAACACAAACCTGAAGACATAGGATGCAGAAAGTTTGAGTGCAGAATGTACTGGTTGTACATTCCTTTTCACTAACAACCTATATTTTATTGAACACTGGAATAAATCTAGAAGAAATCTTGAACTCTGTTGTTAGAAGTCAGCATCCTCTAACAAAATAAGCCATACATAAGTACGGTAACAGATAAATATATTTGCCTAAAGCAAACTTGAAATTATTGGGCAGGTCTTTTTTATGTCTGCTTTTGCATTATGATTAATAACAAAGGGTTTTCTGTAGTGGTTGCATGGTTCCAATTGGTTCCCAGAGTAATCTGTCATTAAATTTAATTATTAAAAAATCCTTATGTACCAACCCTTTTTAAAGTTGAATTACCAGAATGGTTTTCCTGATAGACTTACTTTGCTAAGTTTGTTCTACTCTGTTTTACTCAGCCTATAACCAAATGTTTTTAGAAAGTGATAACAATGTCATAATGTAGAGAAGTAATTAATAATATTAATAAATGATGTTGTTCATAGACTCAGGATGTTTGGCTATTTGCTGTCGCTACTATGGTAATTATCACCATTTAATATGAAAAATTAAGTATTTTAAAAGAGCTACACTAGAGAGTAGTTCTAAATTAACATGCATAGAATTTTACCTTACACATGGGACAACACTTGATTACAAGGTTACACATTTAAAGATTGTTTTTAAAAACAATGGTCTATTAAAAGGAATACTGTACCTATTAGCTATAATTTATAAATGGAGCCACAAAGTAAAAACATTGCTATTTGTAATAGTACTTATTATTGGTTCATTGCAGTCTGACAGATGTTTAGACCTTATTAGGCATTTTTATCAATCTGTCAAGCCCTTCCAAAGACCTGGGATAGATAGTTGTGGATGTTTGATGGAGTAAAAGGTATCCTTGCAGGATCTAAGCTGTTTGAGTAAAGTTGCCTTTTATAGTTGGCCAATGGTGATTTTGTCAATGTCAGTGGTATTCAAGTGGTACACCAGTTGTTTGGGATTGTACCCAGGGAGCCTATTGCTATTAGTATTATTTTTGGTTTCTTTTGCCACAGTCATTCTGTTTCTATTTGCAGGTCCTTGTAGTCAGTTGTTTTCTCTAATTGTTTCTCTTCTGTTTTACTGTCTCCAGGTATTATCACATACTGTACATTATCCATATTATTTTGTCTTTTTTATTGACAACTGTTAAGACTGGGATGTTATGTGGCAGGTGCCTATTTGAAATTTAAAATCCCAGAGCACTTTAGCTTCTTCATTTTCTCTGTTTTATGGTCCCACCAAATAGCAGCAGCTATTTCAGACAATGTTTTTCCATACACTTCTGACTTCTTCAGTATGGTTGACAAAGGAATCTGTGCAATGACAAACAGTAGTGGTGATGGTGAGTCTCTTTGAAAGATTTTCTCTTGATATTAACTTCTCCCAATCTATCAGCGTTGACCAGCAACCATATCCATTGTGCCATCGATCTTTGCAGAAAAATTGTGATGTTTCTACTGATTCCTATTATTTCTAGGTACTTAATTATCCAGTCTTGTGGAGTGAGTAGAATGCCTTCTTATAATCAATCCACACTACATTCAAGTTGGTCAACCTTCTCTTGCAGTTTTCCAAAATCATCTTGTCAATTAAGAATTGATCCTTTGTTCCTCTTGTGTTTGGGTGGTTTCCTTTCTGTTCAGAAAAAGGAATTATCTTCATGCTTTGGAGTTGCGGGCAGGTACTCGTTGGCCTTTGATCTACCAAAGCAGGCTTTCTTTTTCAATTTTACACAATGGATGTTGAAAATAATCACAAAAGGAACAGAATATACTCCTCATGTGTTCGGTATATAGTCAGTTCATAGAGAAGTTCACAACATTTGTCACTTTTTTCTAAAAAATACACAATACCTTTTTGTCCTTTTGGATATATTGTGGATCTATATTTATGCCATCCTTGTGTGCCATATCTTTGTCTCAGGTTGGTACTATCTAGAGCAAACTGTTGTTAACTGTAGTATAAAAACTTCTTTTCCTCTCTTAAAATCTCTGATAAATCACTCTTGTTATTTAGTTTCTACATACTCTCTTCATTTTTATTGCAAATGAGTCAATAAAAAAAAATATCATAATCATGGGAAGGTACCATGATCATCAATCACTGTTTGTTGCCACCTCCATTCCCTTTGGTGATGGAATTTAGGGGTCCAAATAATGATTCCCTTGTCTGTACACTTTGCCTGCCAGACCAATGCACTTGTCTGGGCCACTAAATAGCTTTGCTGAGAAATACGATCACCTTCAAACTTCAATCTCTTTCTTATCCCGTTGTTCTTGATAGCCAGCTCTGGGAAAGCTATCTTCCACAACCACAGGGATAAAAGAGCAATGCTTATATTATAGATTATAGCTGTGGTTAAATATACATAGAATTTTTATATTAACTTACTATTTTTTCCTTATCCTTTTCACCTTTGTAGTTCTTACTCTAGCCCTTTTCCTCTATTTACAATTATTGTGAATATTTAAACATGAGAGGGAAAAACCCACAAAACAAATTTCTTTAAAGCAGAATGTAATAGAAATGGTTTGCAGCAGTATTCTCCCAGTCTGGGTGTTAATCTGGTTTTTAAGTTCTTTTGACTTGGCCCTTGAGACATCAGGCAATTATTGAAATGTTATTTCCTCAAGCTCTGTTTCTTATCACAGCATAAATTATCTTCCAGATCAGCGATTTCTAGAGAAGCATGAGTTTCTTGAGAAGTTTATAGTGTTTTTTTCCAATTGCAAGACCTGTAATGGCTGACATATTTCTATGAAAACTTGTCCAATAGTATCTTTATGCAACAACTTTCAGCTTATAGAGAAGACTGACACAACATATAGAGAAGAATGGACCATCTTGCTACATTAAAGATAATTGCAGGCCCCAAAAGAATAGCTGACACCCTGATCAGTTGCTTCACAGCTAGAGGCATAACAGCCTTGATGGAACTAGCAGTATAGAAGGTGCTAAGGAAATGTTTTCCCTGTAACCATTATCATTAGCAGAATTCTTTGCCATTTTCAGCTGAAGCTGGAGAGGAAGTAACTAGTGTCATTCAGATCAGAGCATCTCCTTGTATAGACACTTGAGCAATTGCATTCCAGTCATGGGAAAGTCATGGCTAAGAATCCACTAACTTGTAAGGGCAGGAGAAAAACACTTATGTTTTTAAATCTCAGAGCTGATATACAAGCTTAATTTTTGTGTTCTGTAGCAAGGTCTGCCTTGTGTCTACATATGACACATCTAGCTATATCAAATCCTCCAAGGTTCTATTTTTAGCTAGTTCCTGACTAAGGACCAAGGTTTTGGAGGAGCAGAGTTTATAACCATGCCTGACCCAAATCTGACAGATGAGCACATTTCCTTAGCAAGCAAGTAAATGTTCTATGGTGCTATGAAGGCAGTTTTTGAAAAGCACAAACAAAATTTTACATGTCTGGCTCGCAGAGCAGCAGCTAACTTGGTTCCATTTATCTTCTAATCCTTCCCCTCTCTAGATGGATCCAGTACAAAAGGCAGTAATCAACCATACCTTTGGTGTACCCAATCCACTTAAGAAGAAGCAGTTCATCTCTTGTAATATTTGTCATCTGAGATTCAACTCTGCGGTAAGCTACATCCCTGAAACACTAGAATCAAGCAGATAGGTAGGGAAAAGGAAGAGGAGAACTATCATATAGATAACTATGGTCAATTTTACTTATGTGTGCACAACAGTTCATATAATGTTTTAGTGCTCAAAGCACCTCATTTAATAATTTGTGAGGAAGATCATGATTAGCAATACCTTCTATATTCTACAATTCTAAAGCTGAAACTGTCTTAAAGCTGAGTTTGTGGTAGTTCTTGGCAAAAGTGAGACTTGGGTTGATGTTGGTCTGATTTATAGTTCCCTTCACAGAGCACAAAGCACAGCAAGTCATATTAACAAGAAAGAACATCCACTACAGACAATGCCATCAAGGCACCATTTAATGTACTATCCAAATCAAAGTCTAGTGCTTCTTCCTCTAAGTTTCTTCCTCTAAAATGTTTCAAGAGGAACAAGTTAGAATCCTAGTGTTTGATGGCTTTTTTTAATAAATTGTGGATAAAGATTCTTGGTTTGTTCACTATGGTCACTCATTGAAAGGGGCCACTGTCACAATCAAAGAAAGAATCAGTATGATACTTTGCTTTTATATATGCATAAAATATTGTCTATCATGTAATGCATGCAAGTTCCTTGAATGTCAGTTCTGCAGCCACATGTCTAGGAGCTCTTATGCTATTTCATCTCTTTTGGAAAAAAAACATATCATACATTTTTGCAGGAAATAATCTTCTCTTGCTGTGCTGCCACCTTCCACATCTGTGTTTATTTCCTTTTTTGGGGGCGGAGGTGTTGAGAAGAGCAGATTCTTAAGGGCTTGCAAAGGGAAAACATACATTGGTATTCTCCTGTATTCTGCATTCAAGAAGTCAGGCAGGGAACTTGTACTGAAAAGTGTTTTATCTGGAAGGCTCATTCACTGGTTTTCAGCCTGTGTGCATTACTTGAATCTGGCCAAAAGAAGGGACTGCTGTGTTATCCAGTTGGTGCAGTTCAGCATTGTGCCCAGGATCTCTTTTTTTTATATAAAAACTGTGACAAAAAAAAAATTCCTAGGCATTTTTTATTTTTATCTAAATTCACTCATCCAATGTAACATAGATTATCTGTGCCAATACTAAAGGTGGCAAAATTATTTATTTACATGGATTTACTTGAACCAACCAACAGAGTAATGCTCCTTGACTAATACAAATCTTAATGTCACATATTTTCTTGTACTTTCTAAAAAAATATTCAGGATAATTTGATCACTCCTCTACCCACAGCATAAATTAATATGCAAGCAAAAAGACATATTAACAGAAGCATCTAAGGCTTACAAGGCTTATTTAGAACTGGTTACAGGTGGACTAACCAAGGAAATACCTAGATGTCAGGAGAACAAATGTATCAAGCGGTGCTTCTTTGTCCCAGTAAAACCCTGTCCATAATCTGAGTTACTGATAACCTGCTTGAGCTTAGTCATAAATCAGACTCTGCATTGTTTTCTTCTTTCTTCTTTTGCCTTTACTTGCACTAGATGCATAAGAATTGAGCCTTGAGCTAAGTGACCTTCAGCACTACCCCCATTTGACCCACCTGGCCCTCTAGCAAAGCGTTATGTCCTCTGTTTTCATTTCATACCATGTCCACAAGCGTGCACATATACTCACACCCCTTTGCTGTCAGGCTCCGTTTCATCTGATGACTTTCACTCCCTCCCTGCCTCTTGCTGTGCATTCATATAATTCAATTCCTGGCATTGTTCATTGCCTGGCAAAATGGAGATAAGACACGTTACCCCTGATTAAATGCAGCCCATTTTTTGTTTCAAAAAGCGCTTTGGGGCAAAAAAGTAAAATAAAATAAAGGAAAATTAAAATAATGCAGCTTCAGAAAAATATATATGCAGCAGACAGTTTCGCAATACAAAATAAAATAGTATAACTAAATATATTCACTTGAATTAGAGCGGAAGAAAAGAACATAATTGTCAAGTATTGTCCCTTCCTGGAATGCAGAGCTAACATGAAGTATATAGTCCCAGGCAGCCATGCAGTTCTGTGTATATGTGTGAGTTTACATTTTGTGCTTTCCTATATCCAGGTCTTTTAGCTTTTCAGAGAAAAGGATGAATAACTGAAGTATGTGTTAATGTCCCCTGCCTGTTCACTGCTGATAAAATATTTTTTAAAAAGAAAATACAAAAGACTACAATGTATTCCCCCCACACCCAAAAGCCTGTGTACTTAGCAGTCAAAGACAGTTCTCCTGATTCTCACTACAATGAATGGCTCTCTGGCAAATTTAAGTCCAATCTGAATTGAAATGAGGGTGTTACATTAGTTTGCATAATGGCTGAAGAAAGAAATAGAAGTGTTCAATGCCCAGAAAGGGGAGGTATGGAAAATTCCCTCTTGCTCTGCTTTTCATGTGTTTTTTGTTTTGGTGGGAGATGTTTAGTTAAAGCATGAAATCATCACATTTTTATCCTCATATTCTTAAAAGATCCACTTCACTTGTACACTCACTGCCTATCACTTGGCCTGCCCATCTATTTGGCTTTTTCAAAGGGCTCAAATGGGAGGAAGATGTACATAGAAAGATTATTTCTGTGCTGCTCCTCAATACTGGAAAAAAGGAAATGGAGAAAACTGGGGAAAAATAGCAAGGTAGTTGGAAAAAAATGTCATCTGCTGCTGCAGCAGGAAGATAACCAAGCTTCAAAGTGCTCTCTACTAACTAGAAAAATGGGCTTTGCAAATCATTTTGCTTTATAGTCTCTCTTTGATCTCCCACAATATAGAATAGCCTTAATACTTTTCTCCATCACTCAACACTCCCCTCCCGTTTATCTCTCTCAGAATCAAGCTGAGGCACATTACAGAGGCCACAAGCATGCCCGGAGACTCAAAGCCATTGAAGCAGTGAAAAATAAGCACAAGACAGCTGACAATAGCAGCAGCAGCAGCCAGGAAAAAATGGCTAACTTTGAAGCTGCACTAGATATCAGCAGAGACACCATCACCAACAGCAGCAGAGGTAAGGGGCAAGCTGACCTAGGAAGAGGCATTCTTCTAGGTAGATTTTAGTTTGGGGAAATTTTCATATTTTCCTGTAATCCACCTCTTCTGTTGTGTAGCAGAATTATAATCTTAGCTGAGATGCCACTATAATGGAAGCAAATGCTAGTTACCTTAAAGGCTAGTTAATCTTAAAACCACATTTCAAAGGAAAATAAATGTCTTCCTTTTTTATTAGCACAACCCAATAGCTTGCTAGGATTGAACCAACCATTGGCACAACATTGCAACCTCATGCTGATGTCCCCGACAGAGGAATCACCAACTGGCGTCCTGTCCCTGGTTTCCCCATCAGTTTCAGAGCCCTTGGAAGTTGCTCCAGATAGTGCAAGTGTGAAACCAGCAGCAACAGCAGCTGGTATGGAGGTGCCAGCAACTGAATCTGGAGGAACCGCCGGCTCAGCAGCAGAGGTGGAGAAAGAGGGAAAGAAAATCAAGCAGCACTTGTACTGTCCCACTTGCAAAGTAACAGTTAACTCTGCCTCTCAGTTGGAGGCTCATAATTCTGGTAAGAAGCCTTCACATGGGTTTTCTCCAGCTACCCCATAAAAGGCCAAGCTAGACTGTATAATGTGTCTGCCACTGCTGTAAAAGATGTGACATCTGGAGCCTATTGCATGTAGCTCATGATAATTCGCTTTCAGAGGCATCTGCGGGATGCAAGGCTTTTGGCAAAATGATGAAATCAGGGTCACCCTGCAAACTTTACACCTTTTGTACATGCATGCATCATCATGATACGTTTACAAAAGGGAGAGAACTTGCATCCTGATGGTGCAGCACTGTTTTCATTATTTGCCTTCTTGCCCACTCCAATATGTCTGTTCATTTCACCTCCCAAAAGCATTTGTCCAGGTAATGATACAGGATCAAGGTAGTTCCATTGTAGCAGTAAGAGAAGGATAAGTTACTCCTCTTTCTCAACAGAAAATGTTGAATGCTATCAAAAATACACCATCTTGCTTCATTGATATTGATAGACTTTAATAACTGAAGCTGATAAAACCGTAACTTCCCCAGTCTGGAATCCTTCAGATCTTCTGGGAATGGAACTCCTAGAATTCCCAGTACATGTGAGGTCTGCCACTTATTAATCTATTTTTATTCCCAACTAACAGATTTTGCTTCAGTTAACTAAATTTTGTCCTAAAAGTATACGGTACATTTCTGACTTAGGGGATTTTTAACCAATATCTACTAATTAATAAATATGTGTTTTGTTCCTTAGTAGATATTGTAGCATTCTTTCAGCAGATATCCATAGAATAGAAGAAATACAGTAGTGTGAAAGCCATGAAAAGCAGGTACGTTGAAACCAGAAGTCATTTACAGATACTGCCTGCCAGATTTTTGCAATAACTGTGTATTTTGTCATTTAAGTAAAATGAAATGCATTCAAAAGCTTGCGGGTTTTACAAACTCTTTGCTTTCTAAATTAAAAAATGATTGGATAAATAGATATGGTTTGCTATAACTTATTTGTAGTCTGCTGATTGCATATTTCTTGAAAAGTACTGGGATACCAAGCTCTATCCATATTTTTTTCTGTTCACACTCAAAGAAAGAACAACTGTATTTTTCTATCCTTACATAATGCATTGTAAAATCTTTTTGCAGCAAGCCAGTTAAGAAACCAAGAAGCTGTACTATTTCCTTTATTTTACATATATATAAAAATACACAATCAATTTTGACTTTCTATTTTGCTCAGTAAAATTTTCTTTTTCCCCACCTTCATCATCTTTCAATTATTTAATTATTTCTATTCTTATCTTCCCTGATCTGAGGCCTTCCATGATTGTTTAACATGCTTGATATTGTAGTTCAGTATACTTGGAGTACATTAAGCTAAAGTAGATTAAACTAACTTCATGAAGAATGTTAATGAAAACCTACTTACTTTTATAAAACTTTTGGATTTTATTCAGTACTGTTGTTTTCAAATTGTAGAATCTTCTCTCTCTAAAGTAATGAATTGCTTTATTTTGACTGTTAATTTTTAAGGCTGTCATTTTTATTTATTTATTTATTTATGAGACTTATGTACCGCTTTAAGTGCAAGCACTCTCTAAGCACTGTACACCAATAAGCAATGTATATATATATTTACATTGCCCCCAACAATCTGGGTCCTCATTTTACCTACCTTGAAAGGATGGAAGGCTGAGTCAACCTTGAGCCGGTGAGATTTGAACCGCTGACCTGATGAACACAGTCAGCTAAAGTGGCCTGCAGTACTGCACTCTAACTGCTGCGCCACCTCATGTCTTATGTTTTCAGGCAAAACAAGAAATTACAATCTATTTTAAAAATAGATGAAGATATCATAACAGAATACATAAATACATATGCCACCATTTCTAGCCTGTTGCCTTAACCACTGTTGTCCCCCAAACAGTACATTAAACATAACATATTAAGATGCATAAAAAGTACATTTAACAAGAAAACAATAACAAAAATGAAACATATAATCCAGATATTGTGTCCATATAGCCAACTTGATTCTGGTATCATGGAATTGGCCCATCCTATTGATAACTGGCCATGTTTGTTCTTAGATTACTTCCTGCTTACCAAAGTGCAAGAGGCAAGTTTCCTTTTTTTATTTCCAAACTCATCTACTTTTCTTCATTCCCAGGAGCAAAGCACAAATTGATGTTGGAAGGGCAGACTGTTTTGCCAAGGCGAAGCCGAGGGAAGGTCCTCTCCCGAGTGGCACACAAGCCCAAACGGATTGGCAGCAAAGGCAGCCTCAACATTCAGAACAAGGCCTTCCAGTGCCAGGTGTGCGAGATCTTTGTCAACTCAGAGACACAACTCAAACAGGTAAGCAGACCAACCTAAACAGCTCTTCTGATTGTCTCAAGGATGTAATGAGGGTCATGCTGAATTTTGGATATTTTTGAAGAAAGCATTTTAAGATGGAAAAGGGGAATAAGAACTAATCTTTCCACCCTACTTCCACCTTCATGTTTCAGCTTAGGCCTTTCATTAAATATCCATTCAGATATTTAATGAAGTTAAGAGGTGAAGTTACATTGCAAGCAGAAATTTCACTATACTAAAATGAGAGCTAAAGCGAAGGTTGCATTAAGACACTTGAAGCATCATCCCAACAGTTCTTGCAAAATAAGCAGTCATATTTTAAGGGGCAGTCAGGATAGAAGAGGAAGGCCTGCTGCGCATGTCTTTCTCTGCCTTAAATTTCTCTGCTTCAAATGTTGTCCTAGGCAGCTTTCCACTCTCATCAGATTTGAAATTTATACAATATTTGCTTTCTAGGAAATCCTACACAAATGGCTTTTCCAGTGACAAGAGAATGATCAGGGTTAATGTGTTAAGTGCATCTTTATACAATACCTAATTAATTGATTAATTAATTGCAAATACTTTGTGTAACTCGAGTAAAAGTAACAAGAAGGCTAAAAAGCAGCAGCATACCAACAACAAGAACAACGATACAGAGAAACTTTTATTCCACAGACTCCCATTTAATGGACATCAGATGTAATTGGGCAAGATTTCTGTCTGAACAATCTCCTGAAATAACAGACAAATCTTTTCAATCCAAAGCAGTCCATGCTAAATGTTACATTTACATTACATTTACATTAATTTCATGCCATCATGTTGATTTACTTATTTGCATAATGATCTGAATATACTAATAGTGGAAATTACATCATTTGCATTTATTTACGTCATTTGTGTAATAACTTCATTACCCAAATAATGTCATTCATATCAAAGTGTGTCGTTTGCATAATGACATAATGACACAATGACACAAATCACCATAAATGATGTAATTTGCAATTTAATCACCATTGAGGAATAATAGACACCCTTCCCCCAGTTGGGAGCTTTTACTGTATTAGTAACATCTGTAGAAACTATGAATTCATACACATACAGAGAGTAAATATCAACTTTTCAAAGACTTTTTAAAAAGCAGCAGCACAAGGACAAAATTTCAAAATAACCAAGAAGAAGAGAAAACATATTGTTAGAAGGGAGCATTTGCACTTTTGTAGAACAGGAGAATATTTGAAGAGGAAACATTTGATCTAATAAGGAAACATCATAGAAAAGGGTTGGAGATCATTCAAGAGTGCAGCTGAGAAGATTATCTTTTCCTGATAAATATAGCACAAATGCTGTATAACAGAGGCATGAGAACCTCTTTAGCAGTCTTCAACACTTGGGAAGGCTAAGCTGATATAATAGTATTTCAAATACCCCAGTTACTTTTCATTTCAGCCACTCAGATAGGAAAGAGAAATTGACTTCTGGGGTGCCATTCCCAAGTGTTTTGCCATAGGGAAGAAAATGGAGTAAAAATCACTTTCTGCTAACCTCTTATTTTGTGCTTCCCTTCTTTAAAGTCTTATATTAATAGCAGTAAACAATATAATAGCAATAGTACTTAAGACTTATATACTGCTTCATAGTGCTTTACAGCCCTCTCTAAGTGGTTTACAGAGTCATCCTATTGCCCCCTCCCCAATCTGGGTCCTCATTTTAACGATCTCGGAAGGCTGAGTCAACCATGAGCCGTTGAGAATTGAAGGAACCACTGCACTACCATGGCTCAGAAAGATTATAGATATCATTAAAATTCAACCAGTTAACTAATTTGTGTTTCAGTTATTCAATTTTTTATTTCTTCACAATTGTTTTAAAATTCCAATATTTATTTCCAACAAGATATAAGTAAGTAATATCTAGATATACAGAAAAGAAGGGAAGTAGAAAACAGGAAGCTAATAGAATGTAAGTGATTCATTTTAAATTTAAATAGAACACTTTGAATTGAGCCTTGAAATAAACCTAAAGTTAATTATCATGTTCTGCATTTATCTTATTAAGCAAAAGATTCAAAGACAGATACAAACACAGTTCTCACCACAAAGACAGATTGGTATCTATCAGGAGACAAAAGTGTCAGAGCAAATGGTCAAAAATACTAGAGACCTGAGCAAAGTGATATCAAAAAGGCCGACGTGATCCTGTTGGTCAAAACTGAAGCAGAACAGATATTTCAACATAATTGAAAACAAGTCTTTCAATTCCTTCATCAAATAAAAACACAGAATAGTCTAAAGAACTGTGTTTAGAAAGTTTGCTAAAGATGGCAAAGGATGTTAAGGTGCTTTTATACTCTGGTAATAGTGGGAGCTTTTGTTTTTTCATCTACAGCATATGAGCAGTAGACGTCACAAAGACAGGCTTGCAGGGAAGCCACCAAAACCCAAATACAGTCCGTACAGCAAACTGCAGAGGAATACTGCCCTGGCAGTGAGTATTCTCAAGGTATTTGTCACATAAGGTGCCAGATAACTCTGTGGTGTATGGAAAATGTGGGGGGCAATAAGGAATTTCCCCTGGTGTCTTAATTATTCTTCAAAATCCAGTCATCCACTCAGTGGAGAATTGTGTCTGAACATTAAACTGTCCCAACCCACAACAAAATAACAGGTAGTGCTATTCTCAGCAACATTTGGAAACTAAAGTGAGACAGCTGCTTGCATGAGAGGAAACAAGAAGAGCAGTGGGACAGATCAGATCAAGAGGTTACAATTCCCAGTATTCCCTTTTCTCTTTATGCATCTTCTTGTAGTGCATAATTAATTTAATGAAAGTAATTGTAGCACAGTGGTTCTCAACCTTTCTAATGCCGCGACCCCATAATACAGTTCCTCATGTTGTGGTGACCCCCAACCATTTATACATCATCAGGTGCCAGGGGCATGGCCAAAGAAAAGGGGAAAAAAATGGCGGACAGCCTTGTTTGGCGACCCCCGTGAAATGGTCGTTCGACCCCAAATGGGGTCCCGACCCACAGGTTGAGAACCACTGTTGTAGCAAGACTGTTACAGTAGCTATGACACCAGATAACTGTTTAAAAAGTATTGGGAAAATACATGGATAGAACTGTTTATGTATATATGAAAAGCCCTCCAGGAGTTGTTGAGCAACAACAAGGGGTAGACTCATCTTTTAGTTCCCCCCCCCATTTTTTTAAAAAAAGGATGGGATTTATATTCTTAATAGGAAAAGCCATTTTAAAGGATAAGGAAAGCTACAGCTGGGGGACGGGGAAACTGTTCACTTATCTAGCTACACACATACACACACCACCACTACACCTGAATCTCTTCACTGCTGGCAATAGGTAGATATTTGAGCTGATTCAATAGGACAATTTGCTACGTTCTTTTAAACTTCACACTGCTCTGAAAGTAAAAAAAAATGTCACAATAAAGTCATGTAGTATTGCTGTCAGCCAAGGACAGAGACTATGTGGTTCTCCAGATGATATGAAAAGATAATTCATAGCATCCCTCACCATTCATTGTATTGTCGAAATTTCCTGAGCAACATTTGGAAGACTTCATATTGGGCATTATTATTTATAGTATTTGCATTTATAGTATTTGCAAAGTACTATTAATTTATCTACTTCAGAGCTGAATCAGGTTGTCAGATAAGCTTTGATACTGAAGCTCCTGGTTTAAATTATTTACTGCAATATTGAAGCAAATTTTCTCTATTTTCTTTATTTTCACATTTTCTGCAATATTGAAGCAAATGTTCCCCTTGTCTATTGAAGCTGCTTTGCTTATGTACCATGTGTATCTCTTTGTGCTTCTTCCCTGTCCCTCATTCTCACTCTTCACAGTCCAAAGTGGCTCTGCAGAAGCATCTTACGAAGACCTTGGCTGCCCGGTTCCTGCCAAGTCCCCTGGCATCCGCCACTGTGTGTACTTTGCCCAGCCCATTAACTCTCCGACCAGCTGCTGCTACTCTCTTCCAAGCACCCATCTTTGGACCAGCACTTTTTCGATCTCCCCCAGGCCCTGTGCGAGCAGCTACAGGCCCCATTGTCTTTGCCCCTTACTAGACAAATCCCAAGGTTGTTTGCGTGGGGAATTGTAGACCATAGCTGTACAAGAAAATTGGGGAGGGCAGGTGACTTTACAGGGCTGTATTCTGAACAGAGGAAAAACAGAATCTTTGAACTGTTTGAAGTGGAACTTCTCTGTTCATTTATCTGAGATTTCCACTAGTGTCATTAACTCAGTTGAAGTTGGAAATAACTTTTCCTATTGTCGGATTCTCCCACAAAGCACCAATCTTTCTAACTCTAGTAGTATACTTAAAAGCACAATCTCACTTATCCAGATGGTCAAGTGGTAAAGTCAAAAGTATGCATTCAAAATATCTGTTAATTTAGAGGTATCTGTCATTTTAAACAGAATTCTATTAATTAGGAATTTGTGTAATTGAAACTCCAAAGAGGTTTCTTTTCCAAAATGCGATGATTATGAAAATCAGATTTGAATGCAGTTCCTAGTTCAGTTCACATTCCCCTTCCCACAATTATAGATTTAAGAAAAATAATGATGATTGATAAACATGTATTGTTCTCCTTGTAAGTTACTAAGACATCTCTATATCTCAGTGAGGATATTGAGATATTGAAGGAGAGGAAAGGAGAAGAGAATATCTGTTTTAAGTATGGGCACAAAACAGAGAGAAGAAGAAAAGTGCTATTATGTAGATAGAAAATTATAAGTTGGGGTTTATTTGTTTTTTTGTTTTTTTGTTTTTGCTTATATATGGAAGAAGAATGGATTCAAACAAAGAATGGTATAGAGATAGAATTATTTCAGATCTTAAGTCAACCTTTCCCAGTTGGGTGCCCTTTCAGCTATATTGACCAGACCCAGAATTTTGAGCCAACCTGAGAATTCTTACAGCTTCAACATAATCAAAAGACATCCTGGTGGGGAAGATTGTCTATAGACTACCTTTATAGATATTATGGCATGTATTGCCTAAGGTGAAGGAAAGGTAAGAATATGAAACCCTATAGAAAATGCACAGTAGGTTTCATACGTAACTGCCATGTGTCACTGAACTTTTGAAATTACTTATTGCCCAATTTCTGTTATCATATTCATGACAGTCTAAAGGAACCACTGCTGAGAGCTACCTAAACCTACTGAATGAAGAAGAAAAACTGGAGCCAGGATTTCTGTGGTGATGTCATTCATAGAAGGATTAATGTCAGGAATGTCAAAGTAGTAGATTTCAAGTTTGAGGACACCTGGATTTCAGATTTTAGAAGCAAAATTCAAAACATAAAAAGTTTCTCCATTTGAAATATGTTACGATGCACTAGTTCAATACTTTTGAATTTACTGAATTTTTTTACAAGTATGCATATCTTAACAATTTTGTGCAAGTGAGCTCATATTGCTTACTCTCAGATAATATTCTATGGTGCAATTTTCTGGACCCTTTTGGTTGACTGAAAAAAATTACCTATTTCATAAATATCTAGAATTGTAGTGGGTCAGAGATTGCTGCCCTATTTCCCATTGCAGTGGGAATGTTGCTGCTCACAAACCAAATTCCACAAGACAGTGAAAGGTGGCAGATATATATATACACACGGTAGCCATTCACTTCAGCAAATGAAGCAAGCCGTGAACAATCTTCCAATATTATTAGTTATTGGATATAGGAGTTTATTTTTTTCACTTGCCTAAGTTATGAAAATCAGTCAAATATAAAGCATGAACTAAAATCTATTAGCTGAAGTTTTCTTCAATTTTGCTTGCAGCTATAATAATCCCTGACACCTTAAGAAAAGTAAGGGAAATATTTCCACGGCAATTCTTTAGATATGCTCATTTTGGGGCAAGTGGGTGCCTGTATTATTGGTCTGCTTTTGTCATTTCAGTGCTCACTTGTGCAGATCAGTATTGATATTTGAAAAGAGAGAGAGGTTATTTGGAGATATTTGGCAGAACACTTTCGCTACTCCAGGAAAGAAAAGCAGGGAATTTTATTTTATGTGAAGGACTTCAATTAAGAGGTTTGGACTGTATGACAACAGATGACCATTTACCAAATGCAAGTGTGTATTTAACTACTTGTTTAGTGGCTGGTTGGTTGTGTCACCCTGGAATGAATGTTCCCTGTTACTTGGCAGAACATTTCTGAATATCACTTTACTGTGTGTTAATATACTGCCACAGAAGCAACAGAATAGATACAGAAAAAGGAGGGCAAATTAAAATATGTTAGACAGCCACATATTAAAGAATAGGTAGCTCAAGACATTTTGAGCTAACAGTATGAGCAAACTTTGTTAGGAGTAACTGGCAGGAGTAACTGGCAGGTCCAGCAGGATACCAGATTCAAGGCTATAAGGTTCCAACAATTCCTACTCACTTTACATCCACTTTCTGTAGCCAGGCTTTATCATTTCTGCCACTTACTCAGACTGGCAGTAGCCCTCCAAAATCTTTTCTAGTTCCTGCAGTTCGAGATAATTGTACAAGCAAGTCTTCTCTAACTGGCACTTTCCAGATGTATTGAGCCAAACTATATGCTATATGAGAATAGAGAGAGTTTTAAGTCCTGAAATATCTGGGGAGCCTCTTGTTGGGAAGGCATATTTAAGCTAATTGCACCAAATGTTTCATACTCCAGATTGCTTTTCAGGATTCTTTATTTTTTCCTTTGGAATTCTCAGTTCTTTAAAACCAGCCTTAACTCAAAATCTGGGACTATTGGACACTACAGGCAAGCCATAAGAAAAGACCATGATTGTCACACCATTCTTACAAACTTTCCAGAGGTATGTAGTATGATCATTATTGAGGTTCCTCAGTGCCGATTCTATTATATCATGCAACTAATCACTTTAGCAAGACATCATGTGAAGTTAATAGGTTTTTTTCCTTTGATCCAGTATTTTAGTAAATATAATTCTCATAAACATGTCAACTGATGCACATCCTAAATAAAAAGCTATCCAGTAGCCAGAGAGTATTATTGGATAGAATGGAAACAAGCAAGCAATTACTGATGGCCACAACTAAATGATGAAACATTCCAATCTATGCAAAATACTAATGGAATGATTGTTATTTGGTTTTCAAGCCTGTGTTACGCTTGTTTCTATCCAGAAGACAAGGATGAGGTTTGTGGCCAAAATCTATACATAAAAAACAAAGGTACTACTGTCACAGTGATCTTGTAGATATGAAATGTTCCTTTTCATTGTAGAGCAGCAACATTCATTTCTATTTATTAAATATGGAAATGTGCCAATTGATTCAGTCTGTTGAAACGTAAGTATTGCCATGAAGAGTAGTGTAACCAGTTGCCTAAAGTGGTAGATTGCAAGTACCAAGATAACAGAGTTGTGGAGTTCTGTCCCAGAACAAAAAGATCATCTATCGGTCCATTTGCAATGCAGCCTGGTTAACTTAAACTATGGGAGGATAAACACAAACATATTTATTGTTTTTGATGTAACATTTATAGATCCGGGAGGTCCTCTTGAAATCATCCATACTGTGTTTAAGACAGTGTGAGTGGGGAACAATAACTAGTTATAAGAGTAAATATGGTTGATGTTATCTGAATAATACCCACGATCTCACAAAACACACAATTTGCAACTGAGTTTTGCAAGTGTGTTTATAAGAATGAGAAGACCAAAAGGTGAAACAAATATGTGATATTTCTGGAGGAAAAAATTCTGATGGGGAAAAGTGCAAGATGGCCTAATAGTTAAACATTCAGCGTAAGATAATGTATATCTTTTTTTGAAAAGTTGGATTCATTCTTTAAAAGTGATTGCTTTCTTTATCTGTAGAACACTGTCATGAACTATTTATGCTTTTTTGTGATTTTTGTGTTGAACAGTAATTGTTTCCTAAAGCAGTTACTTTCTGGGGGGAAACATGCAACCTGCTCAGAATTCAACTAACACCCACATAAAATTGCTGTATATTCACCAAACCTTTGCTTCCAGCTGCTCTTAAAGCTACTTTCTAAATACTGTACTTTCCAATCTGAAACACTCAGTTGTAGCTTTCTCATTTCATTGTAGGTTTTGCAAATGATGGCAGTTCCATGGGGACATGGTTATGTTACTTTATAATTCCAGCAGTTTTCTGCAAGCAGACTGGTAATAGAAAAATGTCTCTTGGCAAATAATATTTGATAAGTGGCAAAAAAGAGGCAGAAATGGGGATAGGAACAGCTTTATAGAACAAGAGGTTACCAGATCTCATCAATTAATAACACTACTTAACATTTCTCTCCTTTGGCTTTTCACCCCAAGCATGAAATAGAATCCTAGGCCATGCTGTCTGAAAATATTGAGAGTGGTTCTGTCAACTTATCCCAGAAAGCTTCAAATGGGAAACTATTGCCATAGTTAGCTATTTCTAACTTTTTCAGGTTCCAGTAAGATTTACAGCACAATCCTGTGTGGATGCTTTCTGAGGCTCATGTTAAATTCAGTGCAGCTTACCATTCCATTATTTTGTTTAGGATTACAGCCTTGATAAATGCTGGCTTATTACATCAGGAAAGGTGGATGTGGTAGATTAAACATAGGATTTTGCAAGGAAATCTATGGTTGCAGAGAATTGAATCAAACCTGGTGTAGAGGACTATAATGTTTATGATAGATTCATTTCAGGGTTCTTGCCAATGTTCTCTGTTGTTTAATGTTAGTCTGCTTCATTTTCCCTCAAGCCCCTGTGCTGCTTCATACCAGGCATATTTTCATAATACAAATAATTAAAAGAATAGGAAATGTATAATTCTTTTTTTAAAGTGCCTTATTCAATCGGGCAGATTTTTAAAAATGATTACAAAAATAATGTGCTTCCCCCTCATTCTCATATCTTGTGTATCATCTATACAAATTTAAGCATATTTAGCTAATAATAAGGTTCTGTAATATGGTAGCAATACTGGAGATGACCTTCTTATAACAGAAAATATTTGTCTTGTTCTGCATGAAATGCATTGTGACTAGGTTAGTGTATCAGCTGCTACTGCTAATATTATTCTATCTGTATAATCAGGTGGAAATATTTATTTTATTGGACTTACAGGTTATTTTAATTACTATTACTATAATTACTTGAGTCTAACAGGCATATATATCTGACATTTGTAAATCAGGTTCAAACATATGAATACAGTTATAAACTCAGAAGCATATTAATGTACATAAATACTAGGAGTATTTATTATAGTAATTTTAAAAAAATCTCTAATGATCTTACAACATCTCAACTGCTAAGGCCTGCTGATCAGCCAAGTTTAATAGCCTTCTTAAAAGCCAATAAAGTAAGAGCTAATTGAATTTCTGAGGGAATGTCTCTATATTCGTTTAAAAAAAAACTTCAGTATATACTCAATTTAAATATGTAAATAATTATAGCAATTACTTGTTTGTGCTAAGTAAGAATCACATTCAGATAATTAAAAAGAAAACTTGTAAATTAGGAAAAAGTTGATTTTCCTCTCCTGCTAAACTCAGATAGTCAAAGCCCACAGATAGACTAAAGAGAGAGAAATAAAATAAAATTGATTGGTAGGGTGGAATCTAGATCTTTAATAAGTTAGGATGTTGCATTTCCTCATGTTAGTAAGTTATTGATATTGCAAAGGATTATGGGATACGCCTTTGTGATTATCCTGTTTTCCAGCCCAATTGCATTGTGATTCTAGAGATGAGCTCCAGTAACCCTGGCAATGCTGAGCAGGATATAGAGATACACCTTACTTTAAAACATCAATACATTTAGCTAATACAGGTTTTGTGTTATAGATTCCAAAACATTCGGATTGTAGATTTGTAGTGAGTAGGCTGGAACAAATGTAATGTTACAAAACTATTACAGGAATCTGATTCAGTATGCAAAAGACTTTTAATAAAAGAATGAAATGGGGTCAGGAAGAAGAAAAGACGTGTAGTTTAATTACAGGGTGGAAAAAAGTTATAGGAAGACAAGTACTGACAGATTATATTGAAAGAAAGAATACCAAATCATAGCTTGAATAATATACCTATGGACAGTGCAAAGGACTGTGATAGGCTAATATTTTGTTTGGTATATTAATACGTTGCAGAAGTAATGATTCATCAAATGTTCCGATTTTATGGATGTGAATGCAGTACTATATTTTTGTGGCATTATCATTGATGTTTGGAGCATAGCCATTTGCAATGAATATAAAATAGTCTCATTTTCTATTTTTGCCATATACATATATAGTTATTTATGGACAGCTTGATAAATTGCATGATCCTACTTTTGTTTACCAAAACAAGCCATTATGCAAAAAAAAAAAAAAAAACCAGCTTCACCCTACAGTATTCCATGGAACAAGTCTAACTTTTCTCCACTCTTGACTGATAGAATGTTTTCAAAATCCAGGCTTTAGTTGTGTTGCTTTCTTTGGGATGCTACTGAGTTTTGGGTTTCTCAAAAAAGATTCTCTTACAGTGATCCCCGTAAGAGAATCCCTGCAGGATTCTGCTTTACCTTTTAGTGGCCTGGATATGCTACTTGAATATTAAAGTACTATAAAGTTCCAGGCTCCTTGTAAAGATCTTTATCTACATCTTCAACTAACTTATGGCAATTTTTCCATTTATCTGAATGCCATCTTTCCTGTTGACTGATCTGAAAAATCTTCTGGCCTTTCACTGTGATTCCCATTTCCTTCAGAGCACTCCTAGGATGGTTCTATTAGCCATGTCCCCCTTTTCTGAAACTCCTCAACCCACTATGTTGAAATTTTTGACCTATCACTGTGCTTTCCTCCCATACAGTGGTGCATTATTTTGATTCTTTTTCCAGAATTATCTGTCTTTTAATAGACTATATGGGGTTGGACATGTTGTGGAAATGAATATACAAGAGCAATGTATGTACACAAATACACATTACAGGATACAAGTACAAAAAACATGAAGTGAACTGTGGCTTCTTATGACTGTAGCATTTATTGTAGAAGGTTGCTCTTGAACATTTGATTTTCTAAGAATTCCTTATCAGAACCACAGAGAGAAAATAGGATTAAAGAAGTAAAAATGCTTGCCTTTTGTCAAATGAGAAAAAACTGCATTGCTCAGAAGGGGTAATTTGTGAGGCTAAGTTCCAAAATGGCAGAAGAGAAATACACCTCTGTATTACAAAATATCCAGCACATGTAAGTTAAGGATAAAATTCTGATAAGCCAGAAATATGCTCTTGATTCTACCACCCAAATCTGTCCTTTTCCTCTTCTTTAGGGTTATGAGCCCCTTGTCTCTGAATGTGCTTGCTTTCTGTCCAGTTGGAAGACCTTCATCCATCATTTTTCTCATTTTTCTTCTGTCCCCTCTCTTCACTGCTGTGCTTCACTGTTCTGGGCGGCAGATTTGGAAAATAGAAGGTCATAAAAGCACCAGTGCACCTTGAACCCTAGTGGTGCTGCTTTTAGCTTCATTGTCTTTCCATTGATATAGATTTTATAGCTAACCCTTGGCCTACATGCAGCTGGTCCTCAATCCTGTTCTGGCACTAGGGTTTTAATATATTTGGCACTTTAACCCCTAGAAGCCATTCCTTCTGCTAATAATACTATAGCAAGAAGCTGCTTTAGAGGCACAATGTGGATGCTTTCTTTTATAGCCCTATCCCTCTGTATCCAAAGCATTAATGCCTTCATATTTAGCATAGAGTGTAATATACTTCAGGTAGTGGGTAGGGCACCTAGGCCATAGCTCTTAGTACTGTGTGTGCCCCCTACTCCCAAACAATATTTTAAAAAAGTGATGCACAACATTTAAACTTTTTTTTAAGGTGAAAAGACATTCAAATGATCTTAGGGACATGGCCAGTATATTGTTTCTTCTCTGCCCACTGATGATTCAATGTATATTTTTGATGTACCATAAATATATATATATATATATATATACACACACACACACACACACACACATATATACACACACATATATATTATAAAAATGTTGAAATAAAAGTAAAAATATTTTGATAATCAAATTTACTTGATCTCCTGTGTTGCTTGATCAATAAATTCACATTGTTGGGCTAAAATCAACGTGCGCTAGATTCAAATCCATCTTCAACCGTGGGAGCTCACTGAGGGAATTTGGGCCAATCACTTTCAGCCCAAAAGGCCACTGTTGTGGGGAAAATTGGGGAAGGGTGGTCCATTAACTCCCCTGAACTACTGGAGGAAAGGACAGAAATTAAACATTTTAATAAGAGGAAACAGCTGTCAGCTGTCTTGACATGGTAGTGGATGATGGGATATATCTGCAATTCATCTGCAGGTTGCATTAGACTGCAAGTTGAAATGCCTTGGGAACTTTTCAATTTCTTGAGCAGCTAATGCATTATTATTACTAACCCATTATTACTACTGAGAGTCTATTATATGATTATAGCAGTGTACAAATTTTATCAATAATAATTAATTTCAGAGCTGGCATCTGTCACAAAAGGTCCAAGAGAAGTATCTTTATACAATGTACACAAGGCTCTTGAACCAATACAATACTGTAGCGATGAAGGTCTGGTCTGTACAAACCTTGGATGAGATAAATGAAACTGTTCTTGGGTTGCACCATTAAAAATTGTACCTTCATAAAATAAAATCTCTGCAGCTGTTGAAAGCTAGTCATAATGAAGAATTCTCCACTAAGATCTTTTTCATCCCAATTTTATCTGTTTAGTGACTTTTCTTGGTGGGGGATGGGATAGATCTTTATTACAACTTACAGACACATTCAGTTGAGACATGCTCATTGAATGCAATACATTTTGTTGCATTTGCACAACACATGCAGTCCAAACCAGACTTTGGCATATTGCAACAAAAAAAAAAAAAATGCAACCATAGATTAAAAGTATATAGACTAAGCTATATAGCTAAAAGTATATAGGCAAAGACAGTTTTCCTTTGAATTCTCCTCAGGATGTTGCATTTCAATGCAGTAGAAATTCTATACAATCTTTTTGCAGTGATCGAAAACTATAGAATAAATGACAGTTCACATTTATTTCTAGTAGCCTTGTGTAGGATAGCTTTTGGGTGCACTGGGCTCTATTTGAAGGTGTATGTGAATACCAGGGAAGAAAGCTTTCCAACCTAGGCTCCAAAAATAATTCCAGTTAGCCCATACAAAGAACTTTAGTCTATTGAACTCAGGCCTTAGACCTGAGGCAATTTGGAGTTCTTTTTAGATCTGTACTGTTAACAGACAATGAAATCTTGACTGATTCTTATCAAAGGAATACACTGTGGACCAATCCACTGGTCAATGTTTGGTCTCATCAGTTTGCTACATTTTGTCTCTATAAGCTCAGATCTGTGTTTTCCAGAATCCTTGATGATCTCTTTGTGGTCTTTGCTTAAGTTTGCAATTATAATCATTATACTTCTTACAGAATAGAACACCAGATCCCTACATGCCATCTTTGATCTTCTAGAGGCACTAAAAGAAGATAAGCACGCAGAGGTATTCTTGCTATGTATGTGCCCACACAAATGTATGCCAGCTGAGCTTTTCATAAACTAGCTTGGCATACAACATGTTGCTTCAGCCAACTTTTTTTTAATTGAGGCATGTATTTGCAAGTAAGAAATGATGGTTGGAAGAGAAAGACTTTAGTTCTTTATTTGGCTCTTAATTATTATTTCCCCCTCTACACACACACATTTTTCCCAGTCTGGCTTCTCAGTCAGAAATCAGTTGCAAAAACTAAAATGTTATGAAAGAAAACTGATAATAAATGGGAAGATAAAGTATCTCCCACTGCCCCTCTATTTCCTTCTGCAACGTCTCTTTATGCAGATTACATTTACTCTCATGATTTCTCCACGAACATTTAGTTACATCGAGGTAAGTTACAAGTATGATGGGCACTACTTCAGAATATAGTACAGGTAATTCTCAATTTATAAGCATTCATTTTGTGATTGTTCAGCACTGAGAAAAGTGATTTATGACCATTTTTCACAACACTACTATAGCATCCCCATGGTCACATAATCAGAATTTGGACACTTGGCAACTGGCCTGTATTTATGAGGGTTGCAATGTCCTGGAGTCACCTTTTGCAATCTAATGAAGTTAATGGGTAAGCCAGATTCACTTAAACATGTTACTAACAACTGCAATGATTCACTTAACAATTACAGCAAGAAAGGTTATAAAATGGGGCAAAATTCACTTAAATGTATTGCTTAGTAACAGAACTTTTGGGCTCATTTGTGGTTATAAGTTGAGGACTACTTGTATTATACTGTAATGCAATTTTTATTCTTATTCCATCAATGAGTTGTATTTGCTGACATTTAGTGGCATTTATAGATTAATAGACATTCTTCTTTAATATTCCTTTTGCAAATATGTAAGATTTTTTTAAAAAAGATTATTTTCTTTCATAAAGTCCTTAAATGGAAAATGATTATCTTCAAATTTTTGAACAACAAATATTTTGCCTATAATCATAACTTTCTTATTAAACTAATTTCAATGCCATTTGTGTCCAATTTATTACTGTTTAAATTACCTTTCCAATTCTTGCTCACTAGTCTACATTGGAAAAACTGGAGAAAATAATTATATTCACATTGATGTTGGGAAAGCTAAAATACTTTTTTTTAATTTATTGTTATCTATTCTGACTGGGACACTGTGTTCTGTACTGTATTCAATAAAAGTTGATACTGCACAAACAATTCAGAGCAATGTAGAATCTGTTTTTAAGCTGCATTTCAAGAATTCATAAGCAACATAGGAATCATTTCTCAATGCATTATGGGATAACAGCAGTTCTTTGAGTTGAATCCACTTTATCATGACACCAGTTATATGTTACATTCATTATCCAAATCAGGAACACAAGGTCACAGTGTTTGGAAGAGACATTCACAAAACAATCAAAATCAAATCCAGATCAAGAGTTAATGATATATAAAAGACCACTAAAATCTATTATCCCCAAACCTAATTTCTGTTGGCAGATAATGTGTTTTCCCACAAGTTTCTATCTATATGTTTCCTCTTTTCCACAAATCCTAACCCTTATAAAAGTACAATTAGCTTCTAAAAAACCATTCTAGAATCTGCTAATTCAAGAACATGGAAGATGGTGGATTAACTTGGCCAGGAGTGCTTCAATGCTGAGTGGAATATTCCATTATTATTTTTCCTCATGTTGCTAATATTCATGGCCCATCCCTCCCTTTTCTACAATTGTAAAAGATATTTCTGGAAAGGCTGGGAAAATTCTACCATGCTACTCTTCAGGTTCCAAATCAAGAATACAACTTAGTGCCCCTGACAACTATTTTCAGATTTAAAATGCGGGTTCTTTAAACATTAAATAAAATAAAAATAGTCTGAGCAAAAGAATGTTAAAAATCCAATCTTTAATGCGCTGTATTGACTATTTAATACACTAGGCATTGGACATATGCAGGTACTATCTGCTTGATTTTTTAAAGTACTATTTTGAGTGAAAAGTCAAGAAAAGCTTCTACACTTGTGTTCTGGATTTGGAAAATTCTTTCTACCAAGACAAAAACAAATGATATAGAGATAGAGGCTGTAGGAACATAGGGTGTCTCTTACTGGTTTCTGCTCTGTGGCAAGGCCAGCCTTGCTCTACATGCATACATTTTTACCAGCAATAGAGAGTCCAACACCTGTGGGTTTCATCCATCCACCGAACCACTGCTTTTGTTCTTGCGGCTGAGTGGGAAGGTGGACTTGCTCTGTGGCTGCGTCATTTTGCTGGCTAAGTAGACAAAGGGGTCAATGAGACTCTGACGGTCAGCAACTGAGGTTTCCCAGAGTTTTACTTTCTCTGCCTTTGCCCAGTGTTGGGCTATATCATGGTCCACACGGCGTTGTTCCTGCAAATCACATTTGTTGCCTAAAACCACAATAGTCACCTATGAAGATTGGAGGGGAGAGAGAGAGAAAAAAATCTAGTTGGTACAATATCACATGCACAAAATGCTCCAAATCCCAGGATGCTCTTATATAAATTTTATTAAAAAATAAAAAACTATGAAAAAGTAATACAAAGTAAAGAAAGAAAAGAAAAAGCTTCCAATTTCCTTTGCAACAAATACAAATATGGCCACATAATTATCTCTTACTCTGATTATTACAAATTTTCTATTATGTAATATTTTAATCATCAAAACTTCCAATCAAAAGCTCACTTTTTTCCCTCTTTCATGGAAAAACCCATAAGGGGTTTCCATGCAACAATAAATGTAGATGTTGTCTTTTCTCTAATCAAGGTAGTCAGTTTAGCCATATCTGCAGTTTCCATCACTGTCACCCACCATTCCTCCATTGTGAATCGAATCCCAGGATGCTCTTGACATGGTGGAACAAGGCCACCCAGAATATTTGGATGTCTGAGTCAAGAGAAAACATTCTTTCTCCTTTAGATTTGTCAACTGAAGATTGCTTCTAGAAAGACAACAGGATGGGTCCTTCAGTGCACTTAAAAACAATCCCAGCATGCTTGCTGGTGGCATAAATGCCTTTTTTTTTTTAATATGCCATCCCTGCTTCTTACTGCTCTTAGTGCCTGGCAGCCAAATTGTCTCCCTCAGGGGCCTTCTATTTATCCCATTCTCTCACTCATCCTCAGCCACTGTAGCATTTAGCTGACCTTGGTGGGTTTAAGAAACCTATGTAGAGTTAGGACTAGAAAATCCCAAGATTGTGGATTCAACTGAGTATGCAAAAAGGAAAGAACAGAAAAAAAGAAATAAGGATCCCTTGAAAATACAATGGCAAATCATTTCCACATTATTGCTGAACTTGACCAAAGACAGACTTATGTGGCCATGCAATCACATACCAACATGACACAAATATTGTACAGAAAAGATTATTAACTTCCAATTCTCTGCCTTGATGAAAAGTGGCCAGGGGCCAGGAGCTTCAAATGATAGGTGGAAACCCTAGTTTCTAGAGTTGGGGGGGGGACCCTCCTATTCCTGGAGTCCCCCTCCCCCAAGAAATTATTAAGCTACCAAAAAACAACCAGATTACAGGCAGTCCTCTTTTAATGGCCACATTCCGGATCAGCAATGGAAGTATTAAGCCAAGTGAAATAACAATTGTGCTTACAATCTTACTTCAGCTTTCCTTTGCTTCACAGACCTACGAATGTTAAAAATAATTGGTCACAAAGTTATTTCTTCAGCATTATCCTAACTGTGAACAATCATTGTCCAGGACAACTGGTAAATGAGGATTACTTGTACCTTTTGAAGACAGAAAAATAAATTAAAATGTTTGATCAATGTACCCCTCTAAAGAGAATCAGCATAGCACATCTTCTACAGCTTAAAAATATATTATTTTTGTGAAATAAAGGTGTAACAATTGTTTCTCCTAAAAAAAAAAAGAAAGATGTAATGGTATGTGGGAATAACTTTGGAAGACTGGGCAGAGAGATGCTGATGTCAGGCTCCAAGCCCATAAGTGACAAATGGTGATTCTTCCAAGCTGAGTTCTTCATTGTTTCCACATCTACAGGCAGAATCTTGCCCGGCTGAGGACTCTACTATTTGCATCTATCACATACTCTGAGAATTATTAGGGAGGGGCTGTCTTCACCCTCTTTCTCTCACACAAGATATCTGTCTTTTATTCCTCTGGAATGCTCTTCCTCTTGGGAATCAACCCCACTACACTCCATTAAAGATGCTTAAGGGACAGTCAAATAAGCGCAATCCACTCCTGCAGAGTGGGCAGAGCAAGAGTCTCAAGAGGACCCTCCCTAAGCATTGTAGGTGATGGCAGGAGAAATCCACTTTTCAGACTGGCAAGATTCTGTTAACGTAGCTTTA